CTATATGTCGCCGAAAGTGGGAGATCCCGCCGGACATTTGCAACAAACTCATTCCAATACACGCACAGGCGAGGTTGGCTCGTATCAGGCATCTACATATTCTATGATATTCATATTCTCATCCACGCTATGATAATATTTCATTTCCTGCAAATTCTTATCAAAAAATGAATCACAAAGTAAGAAATACAGTCACTGATATGAGAAAATGACTCGACAAAACGTCCCTGGTAAAGGCACATACTTCGCATTCAAATCATATAAATTTGAATATTGGACTCATACTTCATATTTCACGCGGTTTCTATTCAAAATACCTCGAACAGTTCAAAAAAGTTATATCATTCTTAATGAAGGATCTAAACAGATTTGAAGTTTTTCAACGGCTGCTTCTCGTCCACTATGTTGTTGTGATCATCATTTTCTTCTATCCAGTGCTGACCAACGTTTCTCATCGCTATGCAGAGGTAGCTGTAAAAAAGGTATAATCATTACTTTTACACTTTTCAAAGTGGGTTGTGAAGTCTCTATATTGAAGTAGCGCGCGCAGAGAGTGGACGCGATTGCGTCCATGTAAGAGAGTCCGTGATTGGAAGAGACAGCAGACGGTGAGAGAGATAAGAGTGCGCGCAATGTAAAAGACGCAGACTTCGCGTTGCTTCCTGTCCCTGCGCGCGGAGCCTAAACTTGTTCCCTGGAGTATCAAAATCAGAAAAAAATATTTTTTTTATATGATGGTAATAATCCGACTAGTTTTTTCATGGTGATCTAGGTGATATTGGGTTTATCCAGGCCATTTTACCTAGGATTTTCTTTTCAAAACAACCCTCCCCTCCACTTCGCTCAATATAAGAGCGTACGCAGGAAGACCTACCTAGCTGGAATGTCGCCAAGATTGAGCCCCATTTGTTGCAGGACAAATAAGCCGTCCTTTCCAAGAACTCTGAAAAATTGTTCCGTCGATATCCGGTTGATGTTCCCATCGGGATCTGTGTCCAGATAGTCGATGATTGTGCGACGAGCCTGCAAAATGCAAATTCCCAGCATTTTTCACTTAATATCTATCACTAGTACCGAAGAAAAGTTTTAGAAAGGCCCTAGTGGTGGCACAATTAATTCAAAAGGAAAGATAACTTTAGCGATAAAATTTTAGTGAAATACCTTAGTGTTCACACACAAAGTGAACACCCAATAGAAGGAATTCGCAGTTGACACCACTGCTACGAAGAGTAACCAGAACCAGAGGAAGATAAACAGCTTCTCGTAGTAGATATTCAGTGTCAAAACGCATAGTACAGTGTC